TGCGGAGGCTCGGCGGGGTGCGGGGCCGGCGCGAGCGTGGGTGCCCGGGGAGGGGGACGTGGCGGTGGGTGCAGCCTGCTCCGGCCACCCACCGCTTCCCGGGCGTGAGCCGGGGGTCATTACCCTCCAGGGCCCCAAATGAGTGACCCTAATTCCTAGCGGGGGAGGGGGCGCGGCAGGAATCCGCCCCGAAAGGGGGGTGTCGCCTCGCTGCGGGCACCCTGGCGAAGGGGGAGGGGGCTTTTCTAATCCGTTTTCTTTGAACTTTTCCTGTTAGGGGCATACGGTCGTTTGATGACACTAAAGTGTATTAAGAAGTAAATAAATGTACAGTTTTCTTAATTGGGGGGTAGGTATTGTAAGAATAAAAAGTGTGAAGACTGGGTAAAATGTCCATTTATTTTTATGTTTAAAAAAAAAAAAAAACACCAAAGAGGCAGAACCTTTCCTAGAAAACACGACGTCCTTAATTTTGTCTCTTTCTTAAGTTGCAATGATATTGGGGACCCTCGCGTATAACCACGAGCACCCATGGATTTTGTTTGAAGTCGTCAGATCGATGCACCCATTTATTTCACTTGTGATTGTTTTAATTCTTGCCAGCCCCTGCCATCCTCCTCACGCTCAGGAATGCAGCCCGGGGGCAAATCCTAAAGGTGAAGGGGGCGTCCACACCCCAACAAAGCCACTTAGCGAGCTCCCGGGGGTCTTGTCCCAAGCGCAGAGACAGCTAACATTTCTAGCGATTTCATTTTTTTTTTTTTTTTATTAAAAAGGGAGTCAGGACAGAGACCCCTGTTTCTCAGCCTCCCCTTCAGAGCTGTGTTTCTCCCGGTTGACTCGCTGGCACGGTTGGGGGGGACATTTGGGGACCCCCGCAAGGACGGACTAGTCAAGGTAGGACGACAGCCCGCAGATCCCCCGGGCGAGGACAGGAGGAAGCGCCGCCGGCCACCATCTTGGGCTGCTGCTGGAATTTTGGGGCATTTGTTTTATGTTACTTTATTTTTTGAGGGAGCGCATGCCAGGCTGAAATCCCTTTAATGCTGAGGGTTGCCCCCTTAGGAGTTTGCAGCGACCCCCACGTGTGCCGGGATGGAGCCTGCCCCAGGGCTGTGCGCTCTGTCCTGCGTCCCTGCACGTTCAATGGTTCCTGAAGTTTACACGTGTGAATGAAAATGAAAGAAGATGCAGACGCGGAGACGCCTCGGCCGGCTCTTCGCCGAGGGTGCCCTCCTGGCGTGCTCGGAAATGCGCCCATTCCCCCGGCTCGGATACAGGGTGCCGCCGCCCCCCAGAGTCCCCCCTCCATGCGGTCCCTCCGGCTGCGTGTGGCCTGCCCGACCTCCTAGTTGTCCCCCTCTGCAGAGACACCCCGACCCCACTCCCCAAATCCCGGGGACCCCCTCGGGAAGGACGCTCCCCCGGCACCCCTCTTTCTCCGGAGGCGAGAAGGACAGCCGCAGGGCGATTTGCATTTCTGTGCAATACGGACTTGGGGGGCACCTCCGAGGCGGGGCAGGCGCGGCGCCTCCTCGGGGACAGCTTTCGGGCTCTGCCCCCGGCTGCTCCCGGCGCTCGGCGCCCGCGCCCCCTCCCCCTGCGCCCGCCCCCTCGCTCCCATTCTCTGCGCAGCTTTGATCTCTGCTTAACAACAGTAACGTCACACGGGCTACAGGGGAGTTTTGTCGAAGTTGCAAAGTCCTGGAGCCTCCAGAGGGCTGTCGGCGCAGCAGCAGCGAGCAGCAGAGTCCGCGCGCTCCGGCGAGCGGCAGAAGGGCGCGAGGCAGCGCGGGGCAGCAGGAGCCAGAGCCGAGCGCAGAGCGAGCCCGGACCCGCCGCCCTCCCCAGGCCGCCCAGGCAGAGCCCCAGCCATGGAACACCAGCTCCTGTGCTGCGAGGTGGAGACCATCCGCCGCGCGTACCCCGATGGCAACCTCCTCAACGACCGGGTGCTGCGCGCCATGCTCAAGGCGGAGGAGACCTGCGCGCCCTCCGTGTCCTATTTCAAGTGTGTGCAGAAGGAGATCCTGCCGTCCATGCGGAAGATCGTGGCCACCTGGATGCTGGAGGTGCGGGGCTTCGGGCGGCTCTCGAGACATTCCTGCCACTTGTTGCCCAAACCCACGTTTCTTTGCCCCTTATCTCCCTCCTTTCTCTTCCGCTCCGACTTTGAAGTCTGCCGGGGTGTTGCTAGGAATCTGTATTTTCAAAATAAATAGACATCGTGGGTACTTTTGGAACGAGGAAGGGGTGGGGGCGGGGGTTAGAAATTCCCTTTCCCGGGGAGGGGGGTCG